TTGAAGATTAAGAATTTACACACGATATAGAAAAAACAGCTTGTATGAAATTATGCCAGCAGTTCAGAACAGACAAACTTAACACTGGCTCTCAACCTGCTACCCAGGGGCCAAATCTGACCCCCATGGTTCTGGGTGGCCCCTCAAACCCTTTTCTTCTCTTTTCTCACAGGAAAAGAAATTGATTCATGCTGGGATTTTCTTTCTTTTGTTGCTGTTTAAATATACATGAAGCTGCATTTACATTGCCTTGTGGCAACTGCCATGACAACCGTCTACCTGAAAGAGCGTTCCCCAAAACAGCAAAGCCTTCTTAAAAGCAGCTGCTGCCACAACAGTCCAGGGCTGTGATGACCGGCAGGTGCTTCGGTGAGCATCACTAACGGAAGTGCAAGCTAGCTAGCAAAACAACGACAATCAGTGAAAATACCAAAGATTTCCATGTATTTGGACAATTTGTCGTTTGGTGAATATGTTTTCCCAAATCCAGTTTTTCTTCTGGTTGTCCTTTTAAGTTGCTACCGCTGTGTTGTACAACTCCAGGTATTCAGACACCAACATTATCAGCTCGTCCGCCCCTTTTTATGTGAGCATCCAAAGCCAGGCGGCTACTGCTAGAAGTTGAACGCGGTGAACTCTGTGAGGTACAGCAAAGTCTGTGTGCACTCATGTGGGTGGCAATTGCTTCATACCTACTGCCGTGTCTGAAACCACTTNCCCCCCCCCCCCCCCCACCCTCCCACCCCCGTATCGTATCAAGCTAACGTTAGCTAACTACCGACTAACCAGATAATATTAGCTAATCGACAAGCACTTACTGGGCAGAATGGCTCTTCAAATGATGAACAAAGTTTGAAGTTGTCCGAGATGTTTATGCCGCATGTCTTGCACTGTGCTGTTCGTCTTTTGCCGTAATAATGGTAATTCCGAAAGCCGAAGACGATGACTCTCTGTGCCCCTCCCGCTGACATGTTGATGCCTATCTGATATAAGAGGGCCTATTTCTCCAATAAACACGTAAGGTATGTAGAGAGGGCATGACTGATTGACAGGATAGTGATCCAATCATGACAATGCCATTCTCAGCCCGCGCTCCTACCGGGTAATCAACATTATTTTTTAAATTAATTTATTAATTTTATATTTTAACCGAAAACATGATGTGAATAACACTCAAGTCATTCAAGTCATCGTGTCTCAAGTCAAGTCCCGAGTCTTTAACTTCCAAGTCCGAGTCAAGTCTCAAGTCTTTTATTTTTTGTCAAGTCAAGTCACAAGTCATCAAAACAGCGACTCAAGTCGACACGAGTCCAAGTCACAATGACTCGAGTCCCCATCTCTGCTATATAACAGTGTATTGCACTTTACACGCTCATTACTGGATTTAACAATAAGTGGTAGAAACTAACATGTACTCAAGTAATGTACAAAAGTTCTAGTGGAGGAGGAACCGCTCTGTTTGTGGATATAATGGCTCATTTAAAGGAAGCAAAAACACAACTACTCCTCTTCTCAGATAATTATAAACCAATGAAAACGTAGTTATGGGTATTAAAATCAATTTCTTACAATGAATTCCCTTAAACCTACACACTGGACCTTTCAGTAGAGTCCTGAGTTACTTAAGCGTACATGACGAAACAGTGTACAAGGAGCACAGCCTGAGCAGCATCAGCGGCTCCACAGTGGAGAGCAACAATTTCCTTGGAGTTCAGTTATCGGACAACATCACCAGGTCAGTGAACATTACTGGGATTGCTGAACTGGCCCAACAGAGACTGCATGACCTCAGGAAACATCAACAGGCATCACTCCCTACAAACATTGTCAGTACTTTCTACAGAGCCGTGGTGTGTGTGTGGTGTGCTGACATACTGCATCACCTCCTGATACTCCAGCTGTAACACTGCAGCCTTGCAGAGGGTAGTCAGGGGAGCCGAGGAGATCACTGGGGTCCCCAGAGAACCTCAAGACCGATAAACAGCTGATCCACCTGACTTTGCTGCTCAGGGTTTATTTGCACTGTTACCACATCTATACTGGACACTTCATTCACTTTTGCACACGTCATTTGGCCTGATTTTATTTGTTTTTAGGGATTGTCTTAGTTTTAGTATTTGCTTTTATTGTTGGTGTCTGTTTCCACAGTAGTTTTATTGCTCAGGGTGTTTTAGTGTTTGTTTTTAGTGTGACCATCCTGTTATGATGATATTTATTTCTGCACTTAAGATCTCTGAGAAATGCTCTCTCATTCTGCCCGAAATGACGATAAAGCTGACCTGCATTGTAAATTGGTTGAGTGTTTTAATTTTACTTCACGACAGTTCAGGAGGAAACATTGTACTTTATACATTTGTTAGGTATCTGTTACTGTTACTTGTTACTCTGGAGATTAGGACTTTTAAAACCTATAATGAGCAGAGAAAATCTGAATTAATTACAGTCTGCTCTGGTGCTCATGGTTTCAATGAATTGAATGGACAGATTTAATTGTAGAGAATCTAACTGAGCTAATGATGTGTAGCATCTCCATATTGACAAAAATAAAACATTTATATACGTGTGTGCGAACACAGCAGCTATCTAACGTTAGCTCAAGTGGGTCACCAACAGCCCGGTTTTATACATCCAAAGAACTTCTATAAAAATAAACTACTTGGCAACCAGACCAGGCCTTTAATTGAGACAGGCCTTAACTTGTCAAAATGTGCAGCCACACCCAGCTCCTAAAAGGGACTGGAATTTCAGGGTAAGTTTACGTTTCACGGTAATAATGTAACAGCAGAGCCCATTTTGGCCTTGTAGTGAGTGCTTTTACTATTTATACTTTGAGTATGATTTTGAATTTTATGTTGTTCTTTTGTACAGTACGTTCTTAATGTTTTTGGTTATATGGTCATGTCATTGTTTTATTAATAGTGCTTTTGTTTATGGTAATATGCTTGCTCTGTGCTTACGTGCCCCTCTATGGACGTGCCATCATTCCACTTTTATCTGTGCTTCTATGTATTATTTTAATGTGGATTTCTTATATACACATATACCATCGACCTGCCGGGGACTGCAGATGAGCATTAGCCTGTATGGCTAAATTAATTGGGGATTAGTTGTATTTTATATTTGTGGTATTGCTAGAAGATCTTAACACTCCTTCACTATTGCTGAAATAAAATTTTAAAAAATCATCTGCAACGGAAATAACAACTCCTCGTACCCAACAAGTGTAGAGGAGTAAAAAGTACAATATTCCCTCTGAAAGTTGAAGAAGAATATGGTAGCGTAAAATGAACAACACTCAAGTGAAGTAAAAGTAGCTCAGAATTGTATTTTTATTAATGGGCTTCTCACACTTTTTTTAATTGAACATTTGTAGAAAATACAAAAACACACTCGTAGAAGGATGTGCCTTTTATAAAACTACAAAGCAAAATAATAGTCCACCTTGATGAAGATGAGGAAAAAGCATATATTACATGAATAAACAAAACCAAATAGACTGGGCGGAAATTTGTCTATAATAAATAAATAACAATTGTAAAAGCTAAGTTTATGAATGAAAGCACAAGGCATGCAAACTTTAACAACATGGATCGTAATTCAAAACAACAAGAATTTAGAAGGGTCGACACTGATCTTTCTTGAAGTCCTGCTAGAGTTCGTTTTTTCAGTGACAAGAAAAACTACTTAAAGATGATCTGAGCTTTGTAATATGGTGCGTTATCCTGCTGGAAGTAGCCATCAGAAGATGGGTACACTGTGGTCATAAAGGGATGGACACGGTCAGCAACAATACTCAGGTAGGCTGTGGTCTTTAAACCATGCTCAGCTGGTACTAAGAAAATCTCCCCCACACCATTACACCACCAGCAGCAGCCTGAACCATTGATACAAGGCAGGATGGATCCATGCTTCCATCTGAATGTGGTTTTTCCAATCTTCTATTGTCCAGTTTTGGTGAGCCTGTGTGAATTGTAGCCTCAGTTTTCTGTTGTTAGCTGACAGGAGTGGCACCTGGTGTGGTCTTCTGGTCTCCCATCTGCTTCAAGGTTGGACGTGCTGTTGGTTCAGAGATGGTCTTCTGCAGTAACCAGTGGTTATTTGACTTCCTGTTATCTTTCTATCATCTTGAACCAGTCTGGCCATTCTCCTCTGACCTCTGGCATCAACAAGGCATTTTGGCTCACTGGATATTTTCTCTTTTTGGGACCATCCTCTGTAAACCCTAGAGATGGTGGTGGTGAAAATCCCAGTAAATACTCAGACCAGCCGGCCTGGCACCAACAACAATGCCACGTTCAAGGTCACTTAAATCACCTTTCTTCATCATTCAGATGCTCCGTTTGAACTTCAGCAGGTCGTCTTCACCATGTATACATGACTAAATGCCTAAGGTTGCTGCCATGTCATGGGCTGATTAGCTATTTGAGTTAATGAGCAGTCAATCTGGAAATCCATCGATTAAAAAAAAAAAGGATTTTTTTTCTTCCTTCCTTCTACAATGTAAATTGCAGAATCTGTCTTGAGAGATTAATGAGCAGTTGTACAGGTGTACCTAATAAAGTGGCCGGTGAGTGTGTATATTGTGTCAGAAACACATTGAGTCAAGTTATCCTTATAAAACAGAACGTGAGAGCTAATAAACGCTGGAATAATTCATCTTCAGTGATCACTTGTTTCCTGAATAACCAGAATCTTTGAGACACAGAACAGAAGTTTTCACGTATCGTGTCCACAGGCTGTTTGTAGTGGTGCTCCCCCAAAACAGAGTCGTGCTGGGACAATGACACAACAGTTCCGGTGGCGGCTGTTGACGCTTTAATTTACTTTAACTTTCACTAAGTTATTTGTTTTTCTCGGTACAATTATCTGTGTATGTGCTGAGGGCGGATCCCTTCGCCGCCTCCCACCTTCCTCTGCCAGTTAGCTTCCCGGCAGGACGACACTTTAACGGGTGTTAACGTTAGCTCGGACCGGCTCAGACGGCAGATTCATAAACTTACCTGAATTTGTTGGTAGTTTTTCTCTAAATCTTCCCATTCTCGTAAACACTCAGTCAAACCCGTCGGACTGAACAACATTTTTCTACTCTAACATGAGGAAACCTTCAGGAGTTAGGTAATGTTCAGGCTCCGCTATGCAACAGTTGAGCTGCTGCTGTCCTGTGTCAAAAGAAACACACGAACAAGAGTGACTTCCGGTCACAGCCTCCACAATAAAAGCCTAAAGTGTTTTTAGTGTCTGTGGCAGGGGCCAGAATTTTTCTCAGCAGATACCGTCGGGGGTGGACTTTAAAAAAGTATTCAGAAAAATTGTCACTGTTTAATTATTTAATCAATAATTGTTCAATGATAAAGTAAAAAATATTTTATTGATGACTTAAAAGTAAACATTAGAAAATGTGAAATAGATAGAGATACATTGATACTTTATTAATCCAGAGGGACATTGAGGCACCCAGTAGGTTATTACACAACACATAGAAAAACACAGATACACACAGGGATAGTGAATATAAGTCTACGAATGAAAACACACAGCAGTAAAATGAAAGTCTTGTCCCAGGACTACTACAGAGAACTGTTACTACAGTAGATATGCTTATGATGGTGGTGCACATTTAGGTGGTTGTCAGTGCAGGGATTGCAGTGTAAGGTAATTAAATTAGAGTGCAATAAATGCAGTTGCCACACTGACCCGCCGATCTATCTCACACTCCATTCTACCCTCACTCGTGAACAAGACCCCAAGATACTTGAACTCTCTCGCCTGAGGCAGTAACTCACTCCCAACCTGGAGAGGGCAATCCACCGGTTTCCAACAGAGAACCATGGCCTCAGACTTGGAGGTATTGACTTTCATCCCAGCTGCTTCCAACTGCAAAACACCTCAGTGCATGCTGGAGGTCACGGTGTGATGAAGCCAACAGAACCACATCATCTACGAAAAGCAGAGATGAAATTCTTAATGTGAAATATTTTGTTGGTTTATCCCTGCCCTTTGTCAAGCAATTTATAACTGACTTTATCTGCATGTGTTGTGTCATATTTTGGTAATATTCTAATTAAATGCCACTTGACCCTTACTATCACTTGTAATCATTCTGAATTGTGAAATGAAATTACAGAGAAAAAATATAATATATATGTAGCAGACTCTTCCTATATTTCCCCATGTATACCTGCATAGTCCCTGCCCAGAACCAGCATTACATCTTGGATCATTATATTGCATAATGATATTATTTTAAAAATAAATATTGTATAATTGCATATGAAACACTTATCTGTGTGTTAACCTAAAGATTAAAAAAGTCTTGGGTACCCGTGTTAGGGTGGGTTTAAACAGTACCCTTATCCCCTACCTGGGCGGGTCACAGATATTAATAGTACTGTTATATTATACATACACACTGTTGTGATTTAACAGGGTTGAGTTAAACTGAGTTAAATCAACTGTGTTGCAGCCCAACTTAAAAACATTTGAAGGGTTACAGCTTTTGTGCATTTATTTTTAAGGACACGCACAACATCCGTTTTTTTCATCGCTAACGATGACGCTTTTTACAAAAGGCGCGTCGTGCCGTTTTGCTCATGGTTGGACCAATCAGATGTCCCGTTAGTTCCTCGCTTCAGCCAATCAGCAGCAGGACTTTTAAACAGCCGCTCCCCTGACTGCATCTGTGTTTTCTCTTATTAACTCTGTTTTAGTATCAGAGTTTTTATTATCAGAGTTTGATCATAAAACCACAAACTGTAACTCTGATGAGTCACCTGTTACAGAAACACAGGTGTTACAGTCACACAGGTTGTTTGGTGGGTGCTCTGCTCTGTCCCCTCAGGAAACTGAAGGCAGCACATCTCACTATTTGGCATGTGGCCTGTATTTTTAGAGCTGATGTTATGTAACTGTGGAGAGGGGAACCTGTCATCTTCAATATTGTGAACTCCTCTAACAGACCCATGTAAGGGCTCTACTACAACTGAAGACATTTTATTGACATTTTATTTATAAATAACTTTGTTTATGGACCCAAAACAAAAATAAAAAAAACACTAGATGGCACTGTCCATTTGTTTTATGTTTTTGTTTCCTCACATTTGGTATCTGTCCGTTTACAGAACACCCTCTAAGAGTCATTTTGAATTAAAGAAAACATTAAAAAGAAAAAGCTAAGCAGGATTTGATAGGGCAAAATTGGGTGTTGAGGCAACACAAATACAGAAATAAATACAGATACACAGGTTAAAAATAAAATAAATGAAGTATATAAAATAAAAATAAGAATATGATAAATAAAGGCCTATAAAAGGGGATGACTGTGAAGTTTCTGAACTACGTCCCCAATTTTATGATCGTTTTAGTCGCTTTAGATTAAATGGACATGGTGGATGTTTAGCTGCAGTGTTTCATAAACAGTTTAATGCTGCTCTATATTGAGGTGACAGGTGTCTGTAGTTTTGGGCTACTTGTTTCTAAAATTAAGTGTGCCACCACCATCCTCTGCACCTTAAACCCAAATTTACTAACTAAACTTTTTTTTTGGAAACAGCTTGCATTTAAATAAATGTGTCACATGACTCTTGTCTGGCAGGAAGTGTATGTACTTTAACATAACGTTTTGTTGAGCATTTAATTCTATGTTAAATGAGCATGAAAACATTGAGTACAATTTTTAGAACATTTTTTAATGATTTCATTAAACTATACTATTACATTTTGTGGTAAGCTGAGTTGTTTTCAATTGTTACAATAAGGCAGACTGATTAATTCTGAACCAGGAAGTGCTCTTTGTTTCACCTCAGCACAGCTTTATGTCAGAGACTCTGATATGCACACAGGTGGGAGATCACTAACTGTGTATACGACTAAATTCTGGTACATTTTAATCGCTACAGAAAAAATCACTCAAAAAGGAAAATCTTACAACTATCATCTTAAATAGAAAATGATTATTTCTAAATAGCAAAACCCCTTAAAATGTGCAAAATAACATTACAGGTGACTACACCTTAATTTGTACCTTAAAGGACCCAAATTTTTCAATTAAGTTGCAAACTGAAGCTAATCAAAGGAAAAACTAGTGGATTGGTGTATGTAAGGAGGTTTTATTTGTTTATCTCAACAGTTTAAGGGTTTTTATAAAACCCTCAAAGATTTAAGTTTCCTCTGTTTTTAATTTAAGCTGACTATCCCTCATAAAGAGTGATTTATGGATTACCTGAATGATATAGCCTGAGAGATTTGAAAAGGGAGATGCCATATAATGTACCAAACACGCAACCTCATAATTTTCACTTTAATTTCACCCTTTTATTGAAATGTACAAAATAACATGACATCATTGTGGGAGCTGTTGGTTTATTTGTTAAAAATGAGGTTCAGAGATATCGGTCACTTTTGTCCCCATGGTGTTTACCTCCCAGTCAGACAGCTGCTGTAGAAACCCCATGTTTGGCCTCATGTCAGGTTTACATTTCAGCGTGTACGTCCAGGCCTCCTGAAAAAGAGTCACACCAACGGCATCAGCCAATTTACTGTTAATTATTATATTACATTTCATATAGCATGCTTTATTTCCATTATCAATATCTATTTGCTTTGTTGCAGAGATTTAGATGAAGAGATTGACACTGAAGTCCACACGTAACTAATATCAAACCTCTTGACAAGAACTTGAAAAATCATATTTCCCAAAATGTACATCTATTACTGAGGGCATGGTAGGATTACTGAACGGGCATACAAGGCACAGGCCCCAGGGCCCCCCAGGCCTTCACGTGGAAAATGTCACTTAAATTAAAATGTACCAACCAGGAAGAGATTTCAAATGACCCCAAAGACTCACAAAAGGACCACAAAGAGATGCAAAGGAACTTCCAAGAAACAAACTTTAACATAATGTCAGAGCAAGTCCAGATAAAGTCGGACACCAACCACCATGCATTGCGCGGCATTTGGCAGTGATAGATTCTGCATAGGTCTGGCTCATCTTGATAACAATGATTACGTGTTGAACAACACCATTTTTTATCCAATGAAATCAAGCATGAAAGATACACGAACACTCCAACGAAAAGTCCATCCTTCGAACCGGAGTTGAACCAGCCACCTAAGGACACCTGTTATGATCAAGCTACAGTCCTCCACTCTACCAACTGAGCTATCGAGGGGAGCAAGTATCCCTCAGTCATCCATCTCCTCCATGGATGCTGGAACTGATGCTGCAAGTTTATTGGTTGGATTGGCTGCCTCTATCTCCTGAGAATATTGTTGTCCACTTTAACAAACTGACAGAGCAAGTCCAGATGAAGACTGACATCAACCACCATGCACTGTGCGGCATTTGGCAGTGTTTGATTCATCACAGGTCTGGCTGATCTTCATGCCAACGATTACCTGTTCAACAAGCAACATTTTGTCTAATTAAATCCAGCATTAATGTTCCACTAACCTCTTTATGGTCACACATCGGACACCAATGAAAAGTCCATCTTTCGAGCCAGAGTTGAACCAGCGACCTAACGATACCTGTCATGAGCAATCTACAATCTGCAACTCTACCAACTGAGCTATCGAATGGAGCGAATGTCCTTCAATCATCCATCCTCTCCATGGATGCTGGAATTGATGCTCAACCAAAGTTTTTTGGTTGGATTGGCTGCCTC